GACAACACCACTAAGCTAAATCCCTGGTCCTTTTGTTTTGAGACAGTATCTCTACATTAGTTCAGGATGGCCTCAAGCTTGTAGCAATCCTACCACTCCAGTCCTGTGTGCTGGGATTACAGGCACGCACTACCAAGCCTAGCTGATAGGCAGTTTTGAAGAGTACTATCCAGGCTGAGAACCATCATTCAAGGTACAAAAAAGCCTTAAACTGTGTGTGGTGGCGTATATCTGTAGTCCCAGCTACTCTGGAGGCTGAAACGGGAGGATTGCTAGAGTCCAGGAGCTGGAAGTCAGCCTGGCCACCAAAACAACAAACTGGCCTGTTTTCTGAAGCCAGTTTAAGATTAGCAATCTGTCATTATCACTTAATGGTTCTCAACCCTCTTTGGGCATGCTCAGTTAGCTATAAAAATGCTTAGATTAAAAAGTTTTAGTGATGCTGGGGCTGAGCAGCTCAGGGCCTCGTGCATGCCAGGCAAGTACTCTACCACTGAGCTAGTATCTCCAGGCCTTTTTGAGATAAGGTCTTGCTGAATTTGCTTGTTCCCCATTCCAAACACACCCTTACACTGGGTAAATGGTCCATTACACCCTAATGTCCTGAAAAGGAGAACGTCTTCAACAAAACCACTAGCCCTTGGGTGCTGGGGATTTAGCTTAGTGGTTCTGGCGCCTGCTTCGCAAGCACAAGGATCTGAGTTCGATCCCCAAACCTAGTGGCCTTGGGCATAGTCCATGCTGAAATAAGTTGCCCAGGCTGGCCTTGAACTCATGACCTTCCTGCCTCAGTCACTCCAGTAGCTGGAATCACAGGTGTGTACTGTCAGGCTGGGTTTCATCAAAATTTTTCTGAGTACTTGAGCTATGTGGTAAGTCATAATACTGTGTTCTGGGATTCAAAGACAGAACCCTGTCCTACAAGTGCAGGCTACTTTGGGAGACAGGCATATATAGTATTGAATGCTTACAAGTAAGAGAATCTGACTTGGTTTGCAACAGATCAGAGAAGTCCATCAGCTGTTGTTTCAACTACTCTTAGGAAACTGATATATAAACAAACTGGCATCATGCAGCCTCCATTTTGCTATCCTGACTAAAATTATATACTGAAAAGATGTATTGCTGAAACCCACATACTCTTACTAGAAACGACTGGGATGGGAAATCTAGCTTGATACAGTTTGCTCTAAGTGAAAACTAGCCTTGTTCCATTTGCAGTTAGCTAATATGAGCACACAGGAAAAAAGACAAAGATAATATATCCTGATTCAAATAAAAACTTAGATACCTAATATCCCAGGATAGACATGCTGTTTGGGTGAATAAAGGCCTCCAAGCCACGTTTTTTTGGTACAACAGTGAGGGCAAACCTTTTAGTTTTCAATGATAATAAAAATAGCTGACTGTGGCATGCATGCCATAGGTTCAGAACTGCTCACCTAGGATTGAACATAGTGGCTCAAGCATGCCAGGAAAGTGTTCTGCCACAAAGCTACACCCTCAGCTCGTCTGGCTGTCTCTCTCTCCTTTCTTTTTTTATTGGGTCAAAGTTAAGTTTTACATTTACTTGAAATAGGAAAAATTAAAAGTGAAGGGTAAAGGTGAAACTGGCTCTGCAGAGCAAGCTTGGGATAAATAAAAAAGGAAAAATTAAAAAGGAAAATCACATTCTGGGACACAGGGCAGGCTATCATGAGGATAGCCATGATAGTCTTCTTTTTCTTTGTGACAATATCTGAAATATTCTGCAAGGACAGGGTTCCATCATGATCACCACTTCTCCCCCACCAGGTCCTTGAAGAGTAGTAGGGCCAAGTAGTGATCCCTTTCTCCCTTGTCTCTATATATTCCCAAATGCCTCCCAGAAAGATATTCCCAATTAAGTGTTTTAGAAGTAGTAGTCACCATTTTTCATGTGCTACCTCTAAACTTCTGCAAAGTAGCATTCCTTTCTATACTTTAGTCACACACTAATTTACTTGCCCCAAGTCACATAACCATCCGTAACAGCGAAGCATTCACAGATCTGTCTCACTGTAAAGCTTACAAGGTGGTGTATTCACCTGGGCCAGGATGCTCCCTTTATTTGTTTTGAACAAAGCCTTGGGTATGTAGTTAGAAATTCTCCAGGGCTGGGGATTTAGTTCAGTGGTACTGTGCCTGCCTAACAAGCACAAGGTCCGGAGTTCAATCCCCAGTACCCTCCCCCCAAAAGTTCTTCATATTGACATTGGTTCATTTTTTCTTTCTTTGAGACAGGGTCTGTAATTCAGGCTGGCCTTGAACTCACTATGTAGCTCAAGCTGGCCTCAAACTGGCAGAGACCCACCAGCCTCAGCCTCTTGAGTGCTGGGATTATAGGCACAGGACACCATGCCTAGCAACTTCCAGGAATCTGTTTTGCAAAAGAACCATAGGCATGCATAAAGATAAACAGTATTTATTTGTTTTGTTTTGTTTTTTGAGACAGGGTCTCACTATGTAGTTGAGACTGAACTGGAACTCACTATGTAGCCCAGGCTGGTCTCGAACTCTTAGCAATCCTCTTGCCTCAGCCTCGCGAGTGCTGGGATTACAGGCATGTGCCGCCACACCTGGCCTTTTTTTTTTTCATTCTTGGCATGGTAGCACACACCTGTAATCTTAGCACTCAGGAGGCTCAGGCAGTAGGATTGCTGGGAGTTCAAGACCAGCCTGGGATATATAGTGAGTTCAAGGTAGCCTGAACAACAATGCAAGATCCTGTCTTGACAAATTGTTTTCTGGGCTGGGGATTTAGCTCAGTGGTGGTGCTGCTGCCTGCCTCGCAAGTGGAAAGTCCCGAGTTTGATCCTCGGTACTAAAAAAAATAAAAATTATTTTTCTTTGCGACATTGTGCATAATAAGAAAACTACAGTTTTTTTTTTTTTTTTTTTTTTTT